TTCCTTCTGGTGCCATATTTCAACAATGTTTGTTAGTGCTGCCGGTTGTCAACATTTATATAATATTAGCGTATTTTCTGGGAAAACATAAGGTCCTACTTAAAAAAATGTACTGTCATTGGGCAGAATTCAGAAACATTTTGACTTATGTAATATAGTAACTGTTTCTGTGTGGCCTGGGTGCAAAAGGTATTTGTGTTAAGGAAATGTCTCTTCTGTATTTAAAGTTTGTATTGACAACAAGGCAATACATTATTCCCATCTACATGTATTTACATTGTCACTGCATTAAAAAAGCGGCATTACTTTAAAGACAAGGCATACGATATTTGAATTTATTCTATTGTTTATTTAACCAGGCAAGTTAGTTAAGAACAAATTCCCATTTACAACCACGGCAGCAGGTATGAAATACTACATGTACTGTATAATGAGGTATCTATGAAGATTCTCAGTCACCCAGGTCATAGTTATCGAACGAAGGTTAAAATGAAGGGCAACTGGACTTGGTTGAAGCTACTGGAAGACGTTTCGTCCCTTATCCAAAGGACTTCTTCAGTTCTGACTGACTGGCAGGGAAACTCAGCTATTTAACCTCAGTGGGGTCGTTATCTCGGGTCATCGATACCGCTGGTTCGTTAGTGTTCCTTGTTGCTGTGACGACAGTCGTTACAGTCGTTGAGACTACCTGTGGCCAAGACTGAACGACCATCGTTGGTATCTTCACCTGAGGCCAAGACTGAACGACCATCGTTGGTATCTTCACCTGAGGCCAATGGGTTACGTTTGTTGAGTTTCCTGGGAAGTGATGAAAGGACAGCATTGTAAGTGGGGGATAAGTGGTGGCGTAGACCCCCTCCCCTGTTCAATGACTGCTTCTCAACCCTGGTGTAGATGGCTTCCTTGACACCTCTTTCAAACCATCCATCTTCTCTGTCTAAAATGTGCACCTGGTGGTCCTCAAACGAGTGTCCTCTGTCCTTCAGATGTAAGTAGACAGCAGAGTCTTGACCTGAGGAGTTGGCCCTTCTGTGTTGAGCCATGCGTTTGTGTAGTGGTTGTTTAGTCTCCCCAATATACAGGTCTGTGCATTCCTCACTGCATTGGACCGCATACACTAGATTGCTTTTCTTGTGTTTGGGTGTGCGGTCTTTGGGGTGGACCAGTATCTGTCTTAGTGTGTTCTTGGGTTTAAAAAACACAGGGATGTTATGTTTGTTAAAAATCCTCCTGAGTTTCTCTGATACTCCAGACACATATGGAATCACGATGTTGTTGCGTTTGACCTTCTTTTCCTCCTCCCCTGTAGTTTTGTTCTTCTTGGATCTTGTGGCTGTCTTCACAAAGGTCCATTTAGGGTATCCACAGGCTGTAAGTGCCCCCTTCAGGTGGTCCTGTTCCTTCTCTCTGGCTTGGGCGCTTGTTGGTATGTTTTCCACTCTGTGGTGCAGTGTTCTCATGACCCCTAGCTTGTGCTCCAGTGGGTGGTGTGAATCGAAGAGTAGGTATTGGTCTGTGTGTGTGTGTGGGTTTTCTGTAAACACCAATCTGCAGGCTCCTGTCCTCTTCAATGTGTACAGCGCAGTCCAGGAAGGCCAGACTGTTGTTGTGAACATCTTCTCGTGTGAACCTGATGTTACTGTCCACAGAGTTGATGTGTTCTGTGAAGGCTTGCACTTCCTGGCTTTTGATTTTGACCCAGGTGTCGTCCACATATCTGTACCAGTGGCTCGGTGCTATTCCTCTGAAGGACTTGAGGGCTTTATTCTCCACTTCTTCCATGTAGATGTTGGCCACAATCGGGGATACCGGTGAGCCCATGGCACAGCCATGCTTCTGTCTGTAGAATCCACCGTTGTACTGGAAATAGGTGGTGTTTAGACAGAGGTCGAGTAATTTACAGATCTGGTCAGGGCTGAGTCTGGTTCTGTTGTCCAGGGGTGTTGTCTTGTGTTAGCCGTTTCCTAACGGTTTCTACTGCCTCTATGGTGGGGATGCAGGTGAACAAAGAAGTCACGTCATAGGATACCATGGTTTCATCTGGATCCAGTTTGCTTGGATGCTGAGGTTGGAAGGGGGGGCCTTCGCATTAGAAAGGGCTGCAGATACCTTTAGTCTGAGCTGTTCCGCTTCTGTTTCTGTTAATTTGTTTTTCCTAATGGCCGATTCTGTGGCTGTGATGAGGTCTACTATCGGTAGTTGCTGTGGTGTAACGGCAAAGTTTAATCCTTTGGCCTTTGCTCAGACTAAAGGTATCTGCAGCCCTTTCTAATGCGAAGGCCCCCCCTTCCAACCTCACCATCCAAGAAAGGAAGGCTGTGACATCCCTGAGCAAGGATCAAAACATCACTATCCTACCTGCGGACAAAGGAAGATGCACGGTAGTACTTAACACAGCTGACTACCAGAACAAAGTCAACACACTACTAATGGACACAAACACGTATGAGACACTGAGACGAGACCCAACCAGCGGATACAAGAAAAAGGCCATAGAATGTCTACAACAGTTACAGAAGGACAACACCATCACCCGTGAACAATATTACCGTTTGTATCCTGGAGAAGCCATTCCATGCATTTATGGACTACCCAAGATACACAAAGAAGGAGCCCCACTCAGGCCGATTATCAGCAGCATTAACTCGGTCACCTACAACATTGCCAAACACATTTCCACCATCTTAGCTCCATTGGTGGGAAACACGCCTCACCACATCCAAAACTCTATTGACTTTGTAAACAAAGTTCGAGGACTAAAACTGGATCCAGATGAAACCATGGTATCCTATGACGTGACTTCTTTGTTCACCTGCATCCCCACCATAGAGGCAGTAGAAACCGTTAGGAAACGGCTAACACAAGACAACACCCTGGACAACAGAACCAGACTCAGCCCTGACCAGATCTGTAAATTACTCGACCTCTGTCTAAACACCACCTATTTCCAGTACAACGGTGGATTCTACAGACAGAAGCATGGCTGTGCCATGGGCTCACCGGTATCCCCGATTGTGGCCAACATCTACATGGAAGAAGTGGAGAATAAAGCCCTCAACTCCTTCAGAGGAATAGCACCGAGCCACTGGTACAGATATGTGGACGACACCTGGGTCAAAATCAAAAGCCAGGAAGTGCAAGCCTTCACAGAACACATCAACTCTGTGGACAGTAACATCAGGTTCACACGAGAAGATGTTCACAACAACAGTTTGGCCTTCCTGGACTGCGCTGTACACATTGAAGAGGACAGGAGCCTGCAGATTGGTGTTTACAGAAAACCCACACACAGACCAATACCTACTCTTCGATTCACACCACCCACTGGAGCACAAGCTAGGGGTCATGAGAACACTGCACCACAGAGTGAAAACATACCAACAAGCGCCCAAGCCAGAGAGAAGGAACAGGACCACCTGAAGGGGGCACTTACAGCCTGTGGATACCCTAAATGGACCTTTGTGAAGACAGCCACAAAATCCAAGAAGAACAAAACTACAGGGGAGGAGGAAAAGAAGGTCAAACGCAACAACATTGTGATTCCATATGTGTCTGGAGTATCAGAGAAACTCAGGAGGATTTTTAACAAACATAACATCCCTGTGTTTTTTAAACCCAAGAACACACTAAGACAGTATCTTCAACCAAGTCCAGTTGCCCTTCATTTTAACCCTCGTTGGACACTAAGACAGATGGGTACACCCAAAGACCGCACACCCAAACACAAGAAAAGCAATCTAGTGTATGCGGTCCAATGCAGTGAGGAATGCACAGACCTGTATATTGGGAGACTAAACAACCACTACACAAACGCATGGCTCAACACAGAAGGGCCAACTCCTCAGGTCAAGACTCTGCTGTCTACTTACATCTGAAGGACAGAGGACACTCGTTTGAGGACCACCAGGTGCACATTTTAGACAGAGAAGATGGATGGTTTGAAAGAGGTGTCAAGGAAGCCATCTACACCAGGGTTGAGAAGCCGTCATTGAACAGGGGAGGGGGTCTACGCCACCACTTATCCCCCACTTACAATGCTGTCCTTTCATCACTTCCCAGGAAACTCAACAAACGTAACCTATTGGCCTCAGGTGAAGATACCAACGATGGTCGTTCAGTCTTGGCCTCAGGTGAAGATACCAACGATGGTCGTTCAGTCTTGGCCACAGGTAGTCTCAACGACTGTAACGACTGTCGTCACAGCAACAAGGAACACTAACGAACCAGCGTATCGATGACCCGAGATAACGACCCCACTGAGGTTAAATAGCTGAGTTTCCCTGCCAGTCAGTCAGAACTGAAGAAGTCCTTTGGATAAGGGACGAAACGTCTTCCAGTAGCTTCAACCAAGTCCAGTTGCCCTTCATTTTAACCTTCGTTGTATAATGAGGTAGTAACATAGAAAAGTCCAGTTAAGAATACAATTGTTATTGTTAATAAAACAAATACAAATATAGAGTAGGAGATTCGCAGTGATGTAGTAGTAAATTCAAACAGGCACTTTAGTCATTTTAAAATAATCCAAAACAAAAAACAGATTTCTACCAAACCACCTTCTAGTCTACCACGCATGAACCTCTTAGGATGCTGTTTCTAATTATTTGGTACCTGATTCTGAGATCTTTTACTGAACTTAAAAAAATGTCTCTTGGTTTATTTTATGACATTTAGCTGCAGATCTCTCAGCCATCAAAGCCAACCTGACTGAGCGTCTCCAGGCCAGCGTCAACATGTCATCTAGTCTGACTCAAGAGAGAGATCTGCTGAACATCAGCCTTGTTGAAATGACTAGAGACTTGAACAAGCTTCAGAGTGAGTCCATGCATGTGGTATTTAGATTTACTTGGTGTGTATCTTCAAACATTTACTCAGAAATTCAAATAGTACAAAACCCTGCACTGTGATATGATCTTTTGAATTAGCTAAGTAGGTAAAACATTTTATAAATCAAAAATAAATGTATGATAACAATGCATGACTATGGACTGCTGGCCAAAGTGTGTCCGCTATCGTTCACTGAAATAACTGAAGAGCTGAACAGCATGAGGAAGTGTGGCAACTGCAGACGATATGCATGGCAATGTGTAATCTCAGTTCTGTTATATGTATCTATAATTAACAGGTATTTTGCAAAATCTGTGAAACATGATAGATCCTAGTGACAGCAAACATTTTTACTGCAGGTTAAGTACAGATATAATTAATGATACATTGGTGCAGCACTTTCTGCTGTTACCACCAGTTTAACACAGTGAAACTAAAAGACTAAAGACCTTAGTCTTACTTGCATCTAATTTACAGACAGTATAGTTTTGTTCCAGTCTTTAACACAATTTTTGTACCAATCTTCATCTATCTGTTCTGTCCAAATGCAACAAATTATTTTAACGTATCTTGAAAGTTAAAATAACATTGCATGAGAACGGACATCCCGTCAGTCATGATCTGGTTGCAGGAAGGTAGTGTTAAGAACAGAGAAATCAATTTAGTTTACTTTGAACTTTAGGAGTAACCCAATGGATTGGAGTGAGATGAGCAAAATTGAAGACCAGAGAGATGCATGGCAGGCAGAGTGAGATCACAGGTGAGTGTAGAACCTGAACACAGGAAGGAGCAAGGTTAGATTTAAAAAAACAAACAACAAAAACACTAAGAATGACAGACCTGTCCATAGCAATAGCACCACATTTGCAAACTGAACAACCTGGCAAAGACTGGAGTGAAAAGCTAGGGTAGATACACTGCAGAGTCTCGAGTAGTGGATGAGTCACAGGTGCGCAGGAGGTTGTGCCGCAGGAACCAAGCAGGCAAGCAAAGACTGTATGGAGGGTCTTGCCCCTCCCCCTCCCACTATGTGTGAGAGAAACAAAGTGAGAAAGCGACTGTTAGGAGAGACAGAAAGAGATTCATCTTCGTTTTCTAATTACATTTGCAGTATTTGCAGCACCATTAAGCCATGATGAATAATAACTATGTGAATGTATAAATTGAAGCCACCTTCATGCTGGAAATGTATACAGGTGAAACAATATGCTAATTTTTTGAGTTTCACCTGTACATGATTTTTTACATCCAGACTGTATCTTTGGCACTTAACTATTGTCTGATTATTTTAAGTTTCATCGTTTCTTACAGAACCATCTTGTCCTGTTGGATGGAGGATGTTCAGTTGCGCCTGTTATTTCCTCTCTAATGAGTCTGGTTCCTGGGAAAAGGGTAGAGAGGACTGTAAAACCAGAGGAGCAGATCTGGTGGTCATAAACAGCTCTGAAGAACAGGTGCAGTGTTTCTGAAATATTTTACACAAATGAGTGTTCATAACTTCCTAACATCAGCATGCTAATACGCTTATGATAATAATACTGGAATGTTGCTGTTTAGCATCTATAATCTTCACCATGTTCACTGTGTTGGTTTAACATGTTAGCATGATAACATTTGCTAATTAGCACTGAACACAAAGTAAAACCGAGGCTGATGGGAATGTCATTAGTTTTCCAGGTATTTGGTAATAAATCAAAATATTGAACAAACAGTTTTTTGACCTGAAGATAGATAAAAAGTCGTTATCAAAGTTATTACAATTCATCCGTGATCTAGTTGTTGAGATATCAGATATCAGTATATAGCCTAATTAAAAGTCAACCTCATGGTGACAGGAAATGTCAACAGCATACACTATCTGGGCACCATAGATATCTGTACCAAATATTGTGCCAATCTATGCAGTGTTGAGATATATCCCAGCACGCGGGTGGCACCAGAGGAAAATCATTGTACTTTAATGAATCAGTAAAGTTCAGTTCATGATGTCTACATTTAATCTTGAATACAGTATATTCTAATATAATATTATTTAAACTAACATATAAATGCTGTGACTTTCTGTTGTGTTTATTGAACAGAAGTTCCTCTCTAACTTCACCAAGGAAGAAATTATGGCTTGGATTGGTTTGACTGATCGTATCAAGGAGGGGACCTGGATGTGGATTAATGGAGCTCCTCTGTCTCTACAGTAAGGCAGATACCTTGGTTGAATATAAACAAAATTGCAAATAAAATACTGTTATTAGTCTATGATTAGAATGTATTTGTTTTAGGAGTGCCTCGGTAATCATCAGAAATAACAGAGCTTACAACAAACATTTCAAAATGGTATCAGTATAGTCACAGCAGTTGACTTGAAATTAATCGGCTGGACCACACTCACGATATACCGTTTATATGATGCAATCAAACAACTATACCACTTTTTGTGAAATATATCTTACCCAGAAATACCACTAGATGGTGCTATGGTTCTTTTAATCATGGTCAACTTTCATCTTCAACCAAGAGGAAGTGATGTTTATAAATTTAGATTTTTAAGAGAATGTTTCTAGAGCTGTCACTAAACAGATGTATTGTTATTTCCTTCTTACCATACAGGCTGGCACACATCGTCACATACAAATGTACATTTAGTTTCTAGTTTATTTGTGTACAAATATTAAAAACTACAAATGTTGGTCCAGCAGTTTACTTTGAAGAAGAGGAACTCAAAATAATAAGAAACATCATAATGTATGTATGTTTTTAAAATCATGGAAACGTTCATATATTCTAGATTCATTACACATGAGATATTTCACTTCATGTGTAATGAAGTTAAATATTCAAAGCCTTTGTTTGGTTTTAATCTTGATGATTATGGCTTACAGCTCATGGAAATCAAAAATCTAGTATTTCAAAATATTAGAATTTTAGAATACGGACATTATGATACAGAAATTTCAACCTGCCTTTAATCTCTTAGTCTGGTTAAGTAGAACTACTGTATACATGTTTTTTGTTTTTTTGAGATGCACCTGTAAACAGCCTGAACATCAAGCAGACACAGATGAACATTCATTTGGAGTTGTTTCCACCTATTGAATTTTAAGTGTAATGTTGAATTAAATTGCACTTAAACTGAGCTAAATGTTCTATGTTCACCAGCTAGTCACTGACCTTGTCTGAATGCTGTTGGGTGCTGGGCAGATAACGTACAATGGGTTTATCAGAGCTTTTTGCTGGAAACAGCTGCCTGCAGTGGCTGAAAATGATGCTTATGAGAGTGCAGTTGTGGGCTAAAATCAATGAGCTAAACCTTGCTAAAACAATCTGAGGACAACTCCCGTTTGTCAAAAAAAAAGAAATGAATGCAATTTAAAATACACCAGTACTCACCTCACCAACACACTGCCCCAAACTGTTTTAGGTCTTGGTGGCATTTCCTGGTGAATAGCAGGAATAACAGACTGTGTTCATGTAAAACAATGTCATTATTGTTGTGTTTGTAGACCTTTTCTGTATTGGCGGAGTGGGCAACCTGATAACAATGGAGGACATCCTTCTCTTGGGGAAGAGGACTGTGCCCACATCATATATGGAGGGGAGGGAAACAACTGGAATGATTTGTCATGTGAAACCAATATGAGATGGATCTGTGAGAAAATGGTTTAGCATTGGTGCATTATTGTGTGTTTGCTGCTTCTACTGCTTCTATATTATATTTAAACATAATTCCTTTGCACAAGTGTGTAAGGTTTCATACAATTTTACTCACAGGGGGCACTACAGTAACATTAATGATATTTCTACAATTCTGGGAATTTGGTGCACAAGTTCACCATAAGCATGTGCACAACAAAGAAGCTGGACATCTTGTGGCCAGTTAAAAAATACTTTGTGTTTTGGTGAATAACTCCTGAACTGTGAGGCAAAGACAAAGCAAGAGATTCTCAAAGGTGTACCTGTGTCCCTTGTACTTAGTGTGAAAATGCACAACTGTATATGTTTTGACAAATTACAGAACTTTGATTAATGTACACATCAATCACCAGAAGCAGCTGCAGAAGATGAAGCAACCACATGCATTTTCTTCTAGGAATGAAAATATTCTAGTTTGGAGATTAAAAGTTTGTAAATTGTTTTTATTGTAAAGTAGAAATAATGAAAGACATTTGGAATGACATTTACCTACAAATTATGGCTCAGAGGATAATAAAGACAATGATTTATAAAGATTGTGGTGAATATTTAAGAACATTTTGATATTTTATGACCTTGTAACTGATTATTTATTCCCATCTTAAATGTGCAATTGTACTACTGCCTGCCTTGGCCAGGACACTCTTGGAAAAAGTTTTTCTGGTTTTTTTAAGTAGCCCATTAAAATATTCCAGCAAATGCAGTGAAGAAGTTCATTTAGTTGAAGTTGATTTATTTTCATTCATAAAAATGTCTCAAAACATCCCACTACTTATTAGCCTTCTTATAAACGCCAACAGGGTTTATAAACTGCAGCTTGGAAAAGATAACTGTGTCACGCAAAACCCTCGCATTCTAGCAGCAACCTCTGAGGACCAGTCCAGTCAACACACGTATGGGCGCACATCATTTTTAAACAAGACAGTAATTAGGCTAGCTGTCTTTCAATCAAGATTTAGTCTGTGCTAATGCAAGTTTTCAGCGCCTCTGATAAAGTGCAGCTCACAGCCGCTTCAGGTGGAGCAGAGAGGACAGACACAGAGCTACAGCTGTATCATCTTATTCTCCCGCTAATAGTAGTAGTATAGTACAAATGTATGTCAGGGGCAGGAAACAGGGCCAATGAGACCCCCACCACCATCAAAATCCTCACCCGCCTGCGTGCTTGTATTGTATTGTGTTGGATATATTTAATGGTTCGTGAAGTGTGGTATGGTGGAGTGGAAATAAGGAGCAGTTAAAATTGGGGGGTGGTTGAGACAGGGGCACTCCAAAGCTGGCAGGCAGTGGAGCCTCCCAACGTGCCCCTCCCACCCATAGATATCCATAATAAAGGCTCTATCGTCATCACTGGCGGCCATCTTGTCACAGGCAAGCTTTTTGGCGGGCTTAAGGTGGCTGGAATAACAACCCTAATGCCTGAAAGCCAATTTTGCCTATAACCAATAGTGCCAATAGTCAAAATCTGGGGGAAAACAATCTCACAATAGTCGAAATAGAGAAATGTTCCCTTAATTTCCCCATGATTATTATTATCAGTTATGAAATTATTATACTAACTCAAATTTCAGGATTTGTTGTGCGACGGGCTCTGAAGAAGCTGTCCTGTGATATCTGCCGTGCCAGCCTGGTGACAGACGCTGCATCAAGAACCAGAGCTACCACCTGCTGACTTTAAAAAACAATGGAGGTCTAGTGATTCCATCAGAAGGCACAGTGAGGGTCGTCAGGGCAGCAGCGTGGGTCATTCGTCAGACATCAAGTACCAGACGATCACAGCCCATCAAAATGCTAGAGGTCGTGTACATTGTACAGAAGAAGATAGGGTCAGAGGATGTGTTTGTGCTTGGGGAGCACATCAGCGAAACGCAGTATGGCATAGACAGCCACCACCATACGTTAACAGAGTATGGTTTTAAGCTAAGGCTGTACCACATCGCTAAAATGATTAACCTTAGCTTACAGAGCAACAACATGTGACACAAGCTCAATAAAACCGTCCTTTTCAAAGGGCATTAGCCCAAGCTATGTTTTTTTGGTCATTTTTTTAATCTTCCATGTGTATACCTCGACAGTAGTGTAGTTCTCTCTACAGGGTGGGGATTTCAACATGCAACATTTATGTATATTTGTAAAGGGGAATCTTGTACCTATTTTTTTATTGCAAATAAATGTCACTTTTATAATAGTTTAAAAATAGAGACTTTTGTGTAATTATTATATATCAGAACCCCTGACATACAATCTAAATAGTCTACATGAAACTTCGGAGTGTTACCTTTCATTTGAGACCAGGATTATGCTACACCAAGAGCTTGCCACACAGTAAGCCTTTTTTGTCAGTATGCATTTTGGGTAACCAAAAATCCTATGGGGATATTCCATAGGGCATTTTACAAAACGCGTGAGCATACCTTGGCAAATAATGGTCTAAAGTACTCATATTTCATTCTATATTGATCTGCCTTTGCACACAGCTTCACAAGACCTGGTGCTAGGGCTCAGTTGTGTTTCTAAAGTCAAGTGACCTAGAGGGCTGAAATGTGGTCAGTTCAGAGATGCTTGTTATCCGGCAGAAAGAAAAAACAATATTCTAGCCTCTATAACTCTGTAGTCCAGTACTTCACACAATTATTCTGATTGTTTCCTAAGAAACGACATGGTCTCAGCTTTCTAAAGAGGTCAGGAATTTCATGGTATGCAAAAATAGGTGGGAACAGTGATCTCTGAAGTAGGCACAGTGCAATGTCGGGGAGAAAAGCCTAGAAAATGGCCCAACCCTGAAGAAGTTAAAATAATCATGTAATTCAAATTATTTTATATAATAGTAATATTCATATTATAAAAGTGTGTGTATATATATATTTATATTAATTAGAGCTGTGTAACGGTTAAGAACTTTTTCAAGACCATTTCAACATATTTTAAGATTGCAGCACCACTTTGAGCTGTAACTGGTTAAGTCAGCAACACACCTTTAAAAGTGGCATTGTAGAGTTTTTTTAAAGGAATTTAAATACAGTATATTTATAACATTTTATTGTGTAGGTGACCAACTTTCTCAGTTGTCTATAACAAATGTTTACGTGTGTAAACACGGTTTCATGAATGAAAGTGAACTTGTAACCATGTGACTATAACCCTCGAATCAGGAGCATTATACCACATTAACAACACCCACTGCCCACTATATGAATGTTGCACACCCACACACTCTCCCTCTTTCTATCGACTAGGAAGGGATCCATGGGACAACCCTTCACCGCCTTCACTGACAATGAATAGTTACAGTTTCACTTTCATTCATAAAACTGTGTTTACATACGTAAACATTCGTTTTATTTCATTCAGTGAACCTGTAACCAAATTAGTATACCTAATTATTATTATTAAAAACGAGGAGAGGAAGGTGGCCCCAACTAACAGTCAAAAGGCCATATCGAGAAAGGAGTGAACCTTAGCTCAGTAAACAGCAGAACACAAGCCATTGAGTTCAAGCTATTATTGTGAACGACTTGAAGTCGTGAACAAAATATGTCCCTCCAGGTTTAATATAACACAACAACCATAAACAAAAGAGGGCCCGGACAGGTGGAGTTAAGGTGTAACGCCCGCCTGGAAAGAGGAGATAAGGTGGAGCTTAAGGTGAATATAAGGTGATGTTTGCTGACCACCAGTTCAGTTTCATCCTGAGACCTGCAGGGATGTTGCTTGGGATTATCTGTCCTTTATTGGAATAAACTCTTTTGCACCGACTCTTGACCGTCTCCAGTGAAGTCTTTGACTACGCAGTTTTTAACTAAAGAAGAAAGCTAATAGAGTAATTTTATTGAGTTTAATAAGTTAGTTAGGGTAGGGACCAGGTCTTGCACTGGCCCGGCCGGTCCTTATTTCCGACCCGACACTTGGACAAATAAACACCTAGACCTAGACTTTGCTCGCAACTACGCCGTTTTCTCGAGGGAGGAACTCAGAGTAAACTGCTTTTATTTATTTTAGCTAAGTGTGGTTTCTGCTCTGCTCCAACCTCGATTTAAAAGAACCTGTGTGTGTGTGTGTGTGTGTGTGTGTGTGTGTGTGTGTGTGTGTGTGTGTGTGTGTGTGCATGTGAGAGTCCTAGGGCTCAAAGTACCCCCCAGGTGGCGTTATCGGCATTTCTTTTTATATACATTTTACTTACAGCTTCTAATTGAGAATTTTTTTGTGGACACCGGACACGCGCATTGCACACGAGACTCTGGAACAGACCTCTGCCTGAGGATCTCAAGGTACGTGCTGATGCGTATGGGACTAAAACGTCAGATATACCAGGGGGAGAGGCGATGAAGGGCTTTAATAGTAATCAATACAATTTTAAAGTCTATTCTAAAACATACTGGGAGCCAGTGTAATGAAGCTAAAACAGGAGTGATGTGATCATATTTCTTTGTTCTGGTTAAAAGCCTGGCAGGTAAGGTCTGGACAGTCTGGAGTCAATCAATAGATTTTTGGGTCAACCAAGTAAAAAGCTGTTGCAGTAGGTGTGATGAGATAAATGCGCATAAAATGGTCTCAGTGTCAAATTAACATTGATCAAAACTTGCTCAAAATGTAAATTACTGTCAAACCAGACTCCCAGATTTTTAGCTTTATTAAGGATTAATAGGTAACAAGTAATTTATTAGATAAGATTTAATTTCTGAGTAACTTGCCCATCACTGTTTAGTTATGTTTATGTCCTTAGGTGAGCAATGTATGTAAGGTGGGGTTAATAATGTTGCTATATGGGAGTATCAGGAGGCTTGTCATACAAGCTTATTTCAGCAGCTCTGAAACTTGTGACTTCCTGAGAATTTAACCAATGAGAAGTTGAAACCAAACAGATTGGAATCAGTTTTATGTGCTGTAGTCTGTGCGGCAGATAGTTGGCCACCTAATGAGCGATGGAAGAAATCTATGCTAATGTTGAACACACCAAACCTGTCGACCCAAGACCTTCAACAAATCGGAAAGGTAAGAATGTTCAGTTAGACAGAGAAGCTGAAGACTGAGCTTGCACAGATGTATATTATAATCCCTTGTATGATCAGTGTTGTACCATTGACTGTAGTCACTGGTCTTCTGTGTGCAGATCCTAGTTGTTCAAAGAGAAGATTTTATGGAGCTGTTTTCTGTCTGGGGGTGCTGAGTGTTTTCCTGCTAGCCGGGCTCATCGGCCTTGGTGTCCGCTGTGAGTCTGAATCACATTCTGTTCTGTCCTTATGCTCTTAGTATCTCCTGTATTGAGTTTGGAGTTGTTTTCTGACTTTTCCTAATTGTCCTGTTTGTTTGAAACTCAAAGCAGCTTTTTACAAAAGGTTTAACACATAGGCCTACAAAACACAACATTTTCATATTTTGTGAATGTATAATTTAACCAGGAAGGTAAATATTTACTTTCAAGCAGGTCATGCAGCAAATATGTGTAAGCCTAAAATCCCCTGACTCCCGCTGGGAATCCACTCTGAGTAGGTTGAACTCCCTTCGTAGTACAGGCCAAAGGTCCTACTTAAAGTATCATTATTTAAAGAACCATTCAGACATGGTATCTGTTAAATTGCTGGTTTAACAGGCACAATCAGATTAATGAGACATAACAAACAGTATGAAACGACACAAGAAGCATGACAAAACACAGACAAGCTTCACCACAAGAAACAGGGCAGCAGGTAGGGAACACTACATATACTGTATGAGTAAGTAAAATACAAATGAAGTCCGGTTAAGAACACAACAAATATAGAGTAGGAGATTCACAGTAATGTAGTACTAAATCCAAACAGGCATTTGTCATTTTAAAATAATCCAAAACAAAAACCAGATTTCTTCCAAACCACCTTCTAGTCTACCACACATGAACCTCATAGGATGCTGTTTCTAATTATTTGGTACTGATTCTGAGATCTTTTAATAAACTTAAAGTTTCTCTCGTTTTATTTGATGACATTTAGCTGCAGATCTCTCGGCTATCAAAGCCAACCTGACTGAGCGTCTCCAGAACAGTGATATCAAGTTGTCTTTTCTGACTGAAGAAAGAGACCTGCTGAACGCCAGCCTGGTTGAAATAACTGAAGAGCTGAACAGCATGAGTAAGTATGGGGACTGCAGACCATGGCCCTCATTTATGAAAAGTGCTTACACCAAATTTCCAGCGTACACCCGGCCTACACCCAAAACCACGGTGACTTTGAGATTTATCAATATGGACGTTGGCGTACGGCACGCTCAAATCCTACGCCCGTTTAGGAGGTGGAGGTCAAAACTTGCATAGATGTAAGTTTTGATTTAGTGCGGAAATGCGCAGAAAAACAATTCCTAACACCACAAAACGCACTGACAAACTAAAAGATATGATATATTATGACCCACTGTAACAGAAACAACGTTTGAAACATTATTTTTGGTGTTTATATTTGAGCAACACGGACTTTATACAGCCTATATAATATTTGAGCAGTCAAAACATGCTTTGATTTGTATTTGGACTATTTTATCGTAGCTTTAGGTGCCTTTTATTTGGGTTTGCTTTTAATACGATTTGTACCTTCAAATGAAAAGGCTATGAGCAAAAAATGTTGTAAGGTAAATAAATACTGCATACAAACAACGAAGAGCATAAGCAGATGGCTTGAAGCACTGAGACTGGCTGCCGAAATGGACACCCCCACCAGGCTGGCACAGACATGTCGCGCACAAAGCCCTGCATTTATTATAAGTTTATATTATGACAGCAACAGCGAGCACCGACACCCCCGCTAAAGGCCCCGCGTCCCCGGACTCTGGTGCACGCTGATCCCGGCTCATGTGTGAGTCCTGGGTCAGTGCGTAAAGCCCAGTCCCGGAGGTGATGGAGCAGCTTTTTATCAGAGCAACATACTTTCATTTGGAGCTTATTTGGGACTTAACTTTGATGGGTGTTTTAGCAGTGCTAAATCTATCTGTTGGAGCACCACAAGTAGCCAATTTATAATTCTAGGAACAGACAAAAACTTCTAGTTTGCACGGAAGGCGCTCCACAAACAGGTGGTACAGACGTGGTGCAGCTCATCATTGTGTTTGGACAATGTTTCACTTTGAACCACTCACCGCGGGTGGTCAGATCCAAGTCCGTGGGCGTCCAGACCCGTGTCCGTGCGTAATAGTCCCACGACAGCGCAGAGCACTGTTTCCCAAAGCCACAAAACATTATGAAGGATTGCTTTGCACGCTGGGGGTACACGGCCCCGTATCTGTCCGTATGTCCTCCGTTCATCAAAGTAAACGCTCAGCGAGAGGCTCTTGGCCCGTGCCCTGCTCCTCCGGGATGAGCGCATCCTCCTCTGGGGCTGACAGCGCGCACTGGTCCGCTCCAGCGAGTCTGACAGCGCGCGGTGGTCCCCCTGACTCCAGCACTGGCTCTCGGGCTTATGGCTCATCTGAATGCTCGTTTCCAGTTTTAAGCGCGTTGAACATTTTGTGGAAAATGTGTCCAGTTTAAATCATCGAATAAGAAAGTATTAAATTGTTTCCAAAAGAAAAATCTCGTAATATTAAAATGCACAATATTTTTGAACATTTATGCCGGGGATGGGCTCTAGTAGTGAAACTAAACATATAATCTTTCTTTAAATCTGTCAAACAACATATTATTTTGTTTTTTAAGTTTAAATTTGTGGATTTCCTGCTCCAACCCATGTATTTCTTGCCGTATTCCGTCAGTCCCTGCCGTGAAGTCGTGGGTGCGGCCTCCTGAAGCTTGAATAATTGGGGGCGTTTCATTCAAATTACGCACGTTTTAAGCCGCCGCATTTATCAACACCAGGTGGTGCTTACACCTTAAGTGCGAGGGTACACTCTCATCGATAAATCAGGCGCTGAGAACAGTGTAAGCATAATCTCGCGCACAAAAATAGGCCCGTTTCTACGGAAGATTGATAAATGACGGCCAAAGTGTGTGGCCATGTGTAATCACAGTTCTGCAAAATATATCTACACTTAACAGGCATGTCGCCACATATGTGAAACATGATAGACCCTATTTACAGCAAATATTTGACATGCAGGTAAAGTACAGATCTAATTAATGACACATAGGTACAGTATTTTCTGCTGTTACCACCAGTTTAACACAGTGACACTAAAAAGCTAAAGGCTGATGTGGTAGTGGGTAGGGTTAGCCTCCTTTGTGTTGCTGCGATGTAGCAAACTGTGGCATATCATACGGATGAAGGGTAACTTTAGCATCAAACAATTACACTTTGTTTCGCTGCCTGAAAGCGTCCGCAATGATGCACTGATGAGAACGCGTTGCAGAAGCACAACATGTAAAGGATGCTCTGGCTCCCTGAATAGTTGCAAGGACACTTGGGGGAAGCCCAGAGGCAGACAGATTTAACCTCTCATAGGGATGGAATATCTCCCCCTGCGACAGGAGGTCCAGTGTTTCCCAGGCCAGTGAGGCAATCACATTGCGAAGGATGTTACACTGGTACATTGTTATTTATAAAGCTACTTCAGGTCTTTTGCCTTCTTATATCTGTTTAAAGTGTGTTCAAAGTACATATCATTTAAGATCTATGATGGACTACTTTGTAAGGTACCAAGAATGAGGACAGAAGCAGGAAAGAGGAGTCTGTCTTACTATGTCCCTTCGTCCTGGAATGAATTTCCTTAGCTGCTTTTAAAAAACGAATATCTGACATTCTGACAGACATATGCACTTGTTTTTAATTAACGGTAGGTAGATCTCTACATTTAGTCTTTCTAATTATGTTTGTTTTACATATTTTAAACTCATTGTAATTTTGTCTATGTAAATATCTTGTAAACTTTGTGTAAATTTTACTGCCAGACAGAAAGTAGCGCTCGTCTTTTCGTCTGCACGTAGCTGTCCTTTGAAGCTGTCCTTCAAAAACATGTTAGAGTAGGTTCTCCAGTCAGTGCCGTTTGACCTGCATTCATTCTGAAGTTGGTCCCCAGGCGCTGTGTCTGCCCACTGCTCCCTTCAGGGATGGGTTAAATGCAGAGGAAGAATTTCGCTACATGTGTGTCTATTTGACAAATAAAGTACCTTACCTTTTAAGAAGGAGCAGAGGATGCTAGTTAAGCGCTACCCAAGCTGCACCATGTGCTGGTTAAAATCATTGACATTAGTTACGCATTTATTTATCATGTGTAAAGTTTAGTTGCAGCAGTCACTCATTCAACAGGTGTCTGTCTGTGGCGAACAGGGAGTACCACATGTCTCCATTGTGTGCACCGCACATATGGTCCGGAGCTGCACTGATGGCTGCTATCGCTATATGCTGGAATGAGCGGAGTTTGACTTCGTTAGCTGCCTGAACTAACGCTATGCTTGCATGTATATGTGCTTATGCTCCGTTCAAAGCCCTTTCTGACATGACAATGCCAATATTAACGGTTAAGCAAGGGAAGCTGTTAAGGCACTTACTAAGACATTTCATACACTTAAATCACAAATAAATAAATAAATTACATAGGGGATTAGGGGACCTGTGCCCCACTAGAGCTATATGTCTAGCAACCCCCCTGGTTACGATTCATTCTTTCAACCACTTTTTTTTTTCAATTATTATTTTTGTTAAGTTGCGGAGGTAATTTGGAACAATGTTTAGAACACTTTTGAGTGCTACAAATACATTAATCTTATTTTTGAAGTGATGAGAAGTTATTAAAAGTGAAGTGGAACGACCACTTATTCAGTGCCCGAGTCTTTTAATGTAGAAAAGGCGACACACAGCCGAGCTTAAAGAATAAGGCTAATGTTTTCATAGACATCATAAGAACACAAAAAATCAACGCAAATATTATAGGCTATGCCTGTTCATTTAGCCATTCACACTGTCTGAGATTTGTTTGTCTTACTACATGTGTCTGCTGCAGCTGTGTTACTAACGGTCTATGTCTAACTGTCTATAGTTTACTCTTCGTTTGTAAAATATGCAGCTCTGCTGCCAGTAGACTTCAGGGCCGCCCGTAAGGGGGGAAAAAGGGGAAAGCTTTCTGGGGCCCAGCTGCTAGGAGGTCCCATGCAGTCCAGCACTCATGATGTTCATTATATAAGCAAAGATAATTTTATTTTGACCCAAAATACTCACTTTACTTATTAAACAAAAAAATACAAGTTATTGTTTCTTCTTCTTCTCTCCTGAAGATGGTATGAGGACTGTTTGTTGTACGCAACGTCAAACGGCAGACCATGTATGTGTTCATGTAGGAGATAGAGAGAGAGAGCACAGAATGCGTTGAGGGCCCATTTACTGGACCTTTTCAGGGGCCCAGTCATTTCTGTGGACGGGCTTGTTCAAGTTTGCGATTGGTCATCTGCTTGATAATCAGTTTTGTGTGACCGCTTATGCCGAATGCGATTGTTAGAGTTAGTGAAGCCGGATAAGAAAGATATCCTAGGTATGTTGAACTTGCTTCGGGATACAAGCCCCTGGTAAGGAACACTACATATACTGTATAAAGAGGAAATACCATACAAAAGAAGTCCAGGTAAGAACACAACAAATATAGAGTAGGAGATTGACAGTAATGTAGTAGTAAATCCAAACAGGCATTTTAGTCATTTTAAAATAATGAAATACAAAAAACAGATTTCTTTCAAACCATTTTCTAGCCTCACGCATGAACCTGCTGTTTCTAATTATCTTATATTAAACTTAAAAAATGTCTCTTGGTTTATTATATGACATTTAGCTGCAGATCTCTCAGCTATCAAAGCCAACCTGACTGAGTGTCTCCGGACCAGTGATATCAAGGTGTCTACCCTGACTGGAGAGAGAAACATGCTGAACAACAGCCTCATTAAAGTGACTGAAGAGCTGAACGGTCTGAGTAAGTGTGGCAACTGCAGACAATATGCGTAGCAATGTGTGATTTCAGATCTGCAAAGTGTATCTAAAATTAACAGGCATGTCACCACATATGTGAAACATGATATACCCTATTGACAGCAAACATTTTGACTGCAGGTAAAGTACAGATATAATTAATGATACATTTGTGCAGCATTTTCCGCTGTAACCACCAGTTTAACACAGTGAAACTACAAAGCTAAAGGGCTTAATATTACTTGCATTTAATTTACAGACAGTATAGTTTTGTTCCAGTCTTTAATACAATTTTTATACTAATCTTCATCTATTTGTTCTGTCCAGATGCAACAAATTATATATATCGTATCTTGAAAGAGTACTGACATCCCGTCAGTCATGACCTGATTGCAGGAGGGTAGTGTTAAGGACAGAGAGATCTACACAGTTTATTAAGTAATCCAATGGATTGGAAGTGAGATGTGCAAAATTGCAGACCAGAGAGATGCAAGGCAGGCACAGTGAGATCACAGGTGAATATGGAACCTGAACACAGGGAGACATAAGGTTAGATAAAATAAAAGACACAAGGAACGACAGACCTGTCTGTAGCACTAGTACCACATTTGTAAACTGAACAACCTGGCAAAGACTGGACTGAAAAGCCAGGGTAGATATACTGCAGAGGTTTGATTAGGTGCGCAGGAGGTTTGCCGCAGGAACCAAGCAGGTAAGCAAATGTTTGAAGAGTGAAGCTGACCAAAGACTGTAGAGGGTTCTGTGTTGGCCCCAAAATGACATCATGACCCTGTGACATCCCGTCGCACATGAGAGATGTAACTGTGTTGTTTAGATAAGAAGCTCTCGGGGAATCTAAAAAACTTATTAGGCCATTAGTGATGCTATGTTGGTGTTTGCCAGGTGAGCCTTGTAGGTAGGCTGATTACAAAACGTCAGAAAAACACAGGGAACGAGAGACCATGCTGGACCATGACAAGGAGGGCTTGTTAACAGTACCTGTAGTTTTGCATGTGAAATTTGCCAACACTTGTGAAACCTTGTAGTTGTCAAGACAGTTATTTGTGTATTTTAAAATCCCCTTCAAAGCCTCAAATGTGCCATGATCAAACCCTGTCATGTAGTGGTAGTTTCATACCTTAATTTGCCCTCAACAGTCTTGCCCCTCCCCCTCCCACTATGTGTGAGAGAGAAACAGAGAAAGCGACTGTTAGGAGAGACAGAAGAGATTCACCTATGTTTTCTAATTACATTTGCTGTATTTGCAACACCATTAAGCCATGATGAATAATAATTATGTTTTATTATGTATAAATTGGAAACCACCTTCATTCTGGATATGAATACATGTTTTTAACATCTATATTGTATCTTTGGCACTTAACTATTGTCAGATTTTTAACGTTTCATTGTTCCTTATAGAATCATGTCCTGCAGGATGGAGGATGTTCAGTTGCCCCTGTTATTTCCTCTCTAATGAGTCTGGTTCCTGGGAAAAGGGTAGAGAGGACTGTAAAACCAGAGGAGCAGATCTGGTGGTCATAAACAGCTCTGAAGAACAGGTGCAGTGTTTGTGAAAAATTTTACGCAAATAAATGTTCTTAGCTTCCTAACATCAGCATGCTTACAATATTAATGCCCACATGTTGATGTTTAGCATCTATAATCTTCACCATATTCACTGTGTTGGTTTAACATGTTAGCATGATAACAGTTGCTAATCAGCACTGAACACAAAGTAAAACTGAGGCTCATGGGAACGTTATTCATTTTCCAGGTATTTCGTAACAAGTCAAAGTATTGCTTAACTAAAACAGAGGGTCAGAGGGTCACCAAAGTCATTAGCATACATCCTACGGGCACCATAGATATATGAACAAAATTTGGTGCCTATCCATCAAGTAGATGCTGAGATATATCCAGCATGCTGGTGTCACTAAAGGAAAATCATTGTATTTCAGTAAGGTTCATTTCATGTTTAAATTTAACATCTTCTGCAGTATAATATTATTCAAACTCAATATAAATATTGTAACTTTCTGTTGTGTTTATTGAACAGATGTTCCTCTCTAACTTCACCAAGGAAGAAATTATGGCTTGGATTGGTTTGACTGATCGTGACAAGGAGGGGACCTGGATGTGGATTAATGGAGCTCCACTGTCTCTACAGTAAGGCAGCTTTACCTTGATTGAATATAAACAAAATTACATAGTAATTATAGTTTATTATTAGAATGTATTTGTTTTAGTGCATCTGTAATCATCAGAAATAACAGAACTTACAACAAATATTTCTTAGTGGAATCAGTATCACAACAGCTGACTTGAAATTAATCGGCTGGACCACACTCACGATATACATAGATGATGCAATCAAACAACTATACCACTTTTTGTGAAATATATCTTACCCAATAAAACCACCAGATGGTACTATGGTTTACCATGAAAACAAGGTATAATAAAAAGAATCACCATGTATATGTTTTGAAAATCATGGAAAAGTTAAAATGTTCCTTGATTTAATAAATTACTGAAATGTTCATATATTCTAGTTAAATATTTAGATACGTGTGCACTCCAGATTTAGCTGCTACTAGCTGACCGATTGCTTGTCACAAACAACGGCTCACTTTACCGCAGTTCTGTGTCTGTGCATGCCACAAACTGAAAACACTGTCAGTGTCCAAACAAAAAGGAAGGAAGACATGGCTGATAGAATTGTCCTCAAATAGAGTTGCTAATCACTTCAGTTCACTAAAGGAAGCCATCTCTTCTTACTGTGTGGGGAGCAAGGCTTGTTGATGTGTGAGTTTAGTGTCCACCTCCTTCGTCTGACTGATCCACCATCAGTCAGCTGACAGAGGGGATAAGTTCACCACTTGAGACACACCCCCTCCTTATTTGCATAAGGCAGTTATGCACAGTGTTGGGCAATAGCGTCGCGTTACTAGTTTAACTACAAATGGTGGTAGCGTCGCTATTTTCTGAAACAAATAGCACACACGACCTGTATGTGCAGCCGGCTTTAGTGCTTCCTGGTGATATCACGTACGGATCCTTGGGCGGATGCCTGCGACTTTGCTGCAGGGGAATAAAGACACGCGTGATTGAGTTTACTTTCTATTGTGATAGTTATTGTAACACCTCTTGTGAGAAGGATCAAGGTCCAGCTGGACACCTCTTCCTCTAGTGAGGAGGAAACTTGATATGTACTGTATATCTTACCCAGAAATACCACTAGATGGTGCTATGGTTCTTTTAATCATGGTCAACTTTCATCTTCAACCAAGAGGAAGTGATGTTTATAAATTTAGATTTTTAAGAGAATGTTTCTAGAGCTGTCACTAAACAGATGTATTGTTATTTCCTTCTTACCATACAGCTGGCACACATCGTCACATACAAATGTACATTTAGTTTCTAGTTTATTTGTGTACAAATATTAAAAACTACAAATGTTGGTCCAGCAGTTTACTTTGAAGAAGAGGAACTCAAAATAATAAGAAACATCACAATGTATGTATGATTTTAAAATCATGGAAACGTTCATATATTCTAGATTCATTACACATTAAATATCTTGCTTCATGTGTAATGAAGTTAAATATTCAAAGCCTTTGTTTTGTTTTAATCTTGGTGATTATGGCTTACAGCTCATGGAAATCAAAAATCTAGTATTTCAAAATATTAGAATTTAGAATACGGACATTATGATACAGAAATTTCAACCTGCCTTTAATCTCTTAGTCTGGTTAAGTAGAACTACTGTATACATGTTTTTTGTTTTTTTGAGATGCACCTGTAAACAGCTGAACATCAAGCAGACACAGATGAACATTCATTTGGAGTTGTTTCCACCTATTGAATTTTAAGTGTAATGTTGAATTAAATTGCACTTAAACTGAGCTAAATGTTCTATGTTCACCAGCTAGTCACTGACCTTGTCTGAATGCTGTTGGGTGCTGGGCAGATAACGTACAATGGGTTTATCAGAGCTTTTTGCTGGAAACAGCTGCCTGCAGTGGCTGAAAATGATGCTTATGAGAGTGCAGTTGTGGGCTAAAATCAATGAGCTAAACCTTGCTAAA